ATTTAAATTACCCCCCCCCCCACCTTCCAAAAACAAAATAGAATGCATTACTGATGAAAAACTATATTTACTTTTACTAGGTGGTACGTTAATAATGATGATTAAATTAAGTATTCATTTAACAATAGCTTGTCTTATTGGTGCTCCTCTTATCTTGGTTGTTGCTAAAATCAGTGGTAATGCTCATGGGCGTATATCAGAAAAAGTTCAAAATCTATCTGCTGAAGCATTTGAAATAGCTGAAGAAACAATTCAAACAATACGAACAGTTCGAAGTTTTGGAAATGAAGATGAAGAATTAAAACGATTTGAAAATACTCTTCAACAATCATATCAAGTTTCATTGATACAAGCAGCATTAATTGCTGCACAAAAGTGGTTTGTTGAAGTAAGTGATTGTCCGTAGACATTTAAAATTATTTAATTGACTCTATTTTCTACTGAAAGAATAGTTTAAATGATATTTCTAAAATATATATGTAGAGTTACACGTATCGCGGATGCTGAATAACTCAGTTCAGTGAGTAATTACAAACATTTTTTCTTCTTTACATTAGTTAGCTCAACTTTGTATGAGTATTATCATGCTTTCATATGGTGCCAAACTTGTACGTGATAATTATATAACTGGACCTGATTTATTAGCATTTATTATTTATCAATTAACACTTGGAGGAGTTTTAAGTGTAAATATATATCTACATGTAATTAAAAAAAACATCGTTATTAAATATTTCTTAGGATATTTCGCAAATTTATACATCGATGATGACAGCTGCTGGTGCAAGTCAATCAGTTTTTGATTATTTAGATCGTCAACCAATACAAAAGCCAAATGGTATTTTACAACCAAGCGAATTAATAGGTGATATTGAATTTAACAATGTATCACTTACGTATCCAGCAAGACCAAATGAAATAGCTATACAAGTAAGTAAATCGATTCATGTTTATTAGAAATCCGAAAAGAATATTTTCTATTTTCTTGCAAAGAACATTTCATTTAAAATCAAATCAGGACAAACATGTGCTTTTGTTGGACCATCAGGCTCAGGTAATGAAATCGTCAAACTATCATTGATCGATGTCATCATTTGTTTTCTTTTTTATTATTAGGAAAATCAACATGCGTTAATTTACTTGAACGTTTCTATGATCCTAGTGATGGAAAAATCTTAATCGACGGTCGAGAAATTCATGAATATGACCATAAATATTTTCATCATAAAATAGCTATGGTTGGACAAGAACCAGTTTTATTTAATAGAACTATTCGAGAAAATATCAACTACGGTATGAATGATAATGATGAAACAATGATAATTCAAGCAGCTCAACAAGCTAATGCAGATGGATTTATTACTGAACTTATGAATGGTTATAATACGAAATGTGGACAACGTGGTAGTCATTTATCAGGTTAGGATTTATTTTAAATGAGATTTTTCTTTCGATTTCTTTTTTATTAATTATAGGTGGCCAAAAACAACGTGTTTCTATTGCACGTGCACTCATGCGAAACCCAACGATACTTCTTTTAGACGAAGCAACATCAGCGTTAGATCCAGTCAATGAAAGATTGGTAATTATTTGCTTTTAGTTTGTTTTTATCAATACATTTCTTTTTTTATGTTTTATGCAAGATTCAAGATGCACTATATTATAAGAAAGATAATTCACAATCTCGAACTATTCTCATATCAGCCCATCGATTAAGTACAATTGAACGATGTGATAGAATATTTGTTATACATAAAGGTCATTTAGTTGAACAAGGTACACATGATGAATTAATGATGATTGACAACGGAATTTATCGAGAACTTGTTCGAAGACAAACAATAGACATTGACGATGATTAAACATTTTAATCTTTTCTTATTTACTCGAGCATATATTTTCTTTCCTTTTTATATTCTATATTAATCACACTTGAGAGACTCACAATAATTCTCTCATTAATGAATGTAAGTTGATTTTGTTTTTGAATTAAAAGAAACAAATCAAACTAATCTATTATTAGAATAAGTCAGTGACCTTTTATTTATCAATGAAATGTCAAAATATAATCATTATTATCGCAGAATTATATGTCGATAGTTTTCCATAAAAAAGAACTTTGTTAAAAATCTCTACATGGTTAACATATGAAACACGCGACGTTACTACTTTTGATAATTGTAGGAAAAGGTCTTCATTCTATCTATTTTAGGTAACATATACTCGCCATTCTTTCACTTAATCAAGCTAGACTATAATAAGTAACTGATATATTGTAACAAGATGTTATTGATGTCGGATTTGCGTTCGATTATCAATAACATCTGTTGGAGTTTGTGACAAGAGAAAAACAACAGATGATTATGTCTATAAAATAACATGAATATTCTATTGCTTCATAAAATTCTATCTCGGAATTTTATTACGGACTAATACGCATATTAAATGAATAGCTAGATTTCCGATTATCGTTCAATGTAAATTATTTCATAGGCATATTAATATCATATGAGATGTAAAGGCTAATATTCGTAAATCCAACATGGTAAGGTAATAAAAATTTCTTCAAATAATAGAGTGCCTTATATGAAAGAATAAATTATCAAATGAATATGTAACCTAACCATAGTTTACTTGATAATCATACAATGTCATTGCATTAATTTATTGATGCATACGTTTCCTGACGGAAATAATGTAGAATAAGAGTTCGATCCAGTGATTTTATTTATGAAAAAAATTTATTTTTAGATAAAAAAATATTTAACAAAAAAAACATTGACAGAAAGTTTAGAAACTATCATTGTATTCAATACCAAATATGGTAAATGACAACGATAAAAAATGATAGAGAATGAATTGAAATCGTTGTTAAAGTATTTTATTATTATTGACTAATGAGTTTTTCTCTTTGAAATAACCAAATAAATTAAATACATTAAGTGCTGTCAACGTATAAATGATCGATGACTATCTTGTGTGCGATCGTATTGTTCGTCATACTAATGTCTTCCGATTAGGAACAAGACTGAGTGCCAAAATCGCAAAGCACTAATCTCATAAGTATTCGATCGTTGCATCGAAATCATAAACCACCATTATTTACCGTAATATCTAATTAAGTATCATTATTGAAATCACCAACAGTGAATGCCATCGGCTTAGAATTATTGCTACTGAAAAACGTAATTTCACCTTTGAAACCTCAGTGTTAAATCTAACATAGCTATAGCATGATGAAAAAGTGCATCTATGTTTATGACAGAATTACATGTACTGTCATTGTTAAAATCGCCAATGGCGACAAAATCAATTAGAATTATAATCAATGGAACTCGTAAATTGTGTTTTTTTTTTGTAATTGCCATCGCCATATCCAAAAGCGTTAATTATAACAGCGAATTTAACTTCATTATCATTGTTGAAAATTTTTAATCTCGACAACTAAATTACAATTGCAATAAAAGCGTCTGAGTCATTATTGATTTAATATAATGTCGGCATCCGAAGACCCACACACCCTGAAATTCAAATAATATGAAAAAATAATAAATTTATGTTCTTTCAATCACCCAAACGTCATGAATATTACGAAGAGTAAATTGAAATTTTATTTTATCTCTTAATTTAAAATTTTACCGTCTAATAATATTTCATTCGCCATTCTTGCTATTAAAACTTAGCTATTTAAGAGTTGAAGTAGTTTTTGTAATAGCTTGCCATATATTTTATTCAGTCGTGTCTATCTATTTTATTTTATTTAGTAGTTTCAAGAACACTTATTAGGAAAAAAACGGGTATCTATTTCGAAAATAACATTATACAGCATCGAAATATAAGAAAACTATAGAACTCAATATGTTACATGTATTTTTAAATTTTATTGCTATCAACCATGCATTTAAACTATGAAATAACGGCATCATCTATGCCTTATTTTCTGTTGGTTGGTTCAAAATTTCGATAAGAAAAAATACAACTAAACTAATATTTGATTATCATGTAATTTCTAATTTTAGAAAGAAAAGCACCCCATTTTGAGTATTTCTGCAACAGATTTGCGTTATAAAGTAGCATATATAGTTTTCAATAGAACCTCAATATCAAAGTAAGAAGAAAGGTGATCTATCTAGTCTATGGGATTTATAATAAGATGCAGATTCATTTTTTTGAGTGAAATAAATTAATCGATGATTCATGATAGAGAACTATCTACAGCAATTTCATTTTTTCATTGATCTCCAGGATAACTTTTTAATAATTGAAAAGAAAAATCTACCTTCATTATTTTCTTTTTTGTCTTCAAAATATATAAATCTTTAAGTTTTATGACATATCCAAGAAATAATCTACTAAAAATACCTGTGACATTAGTATATACATGTAGCTTATCAAATGGAAATTTTCACAATTCCGGTTCTCATCGACAAAGGAAGTACGTCATTTTTTTTACATGTCAACTAAAATTAAATTTTAATTAATTAAAATACGAACAATATTCTAAGATAAATAGGATGTAATTGACTGTTCACAAAACGAAATTTTCTAAAGGTATCGTTCTTATAAATGCAAAGTGAAGTATTTGCTTAGTCAAATGAATTCATACAGAAGTATTATGTTCTGTAAGTATAATATGCCTATGATTAGCAGTTAGAAATTTGTTCGATCTTTCAAAGGAAGAAACGAATCGAATAATCCTACACAGTATAGACTATTTACACAATCAAATTCAATAGAAATCTACTTGTTCATTATCGTTAAGCTTGTAATTCTAGATATTATCTTTGACATTGAACGTTTTCCTAACTACTATTTATGTCGTCAAGTTTTAACAAAAGAAAAAAAAAATGTTATCAAAGCATAAATATTCTTTTACTTGACTTGTCTGTGCACAATTACATTGTATGCGTCTCGGTCTTGATATGTACGCTGTTCGAATAATTGTACGCACCTTTACCTCAGTATATATATATTTTATGCATGGTTGAATTTTTAAATGAGCAACTATATGCCTTTCAATGATTGTTGATACGAGTATGAAAATAAAATATAATGAAACTATTGCTATCATAATCAAAATCGTCACATGTAGAAATATCTGATCATCGATTAACTTGTTTTGCTTTCTATACCTATGTCTGTGATGGGGAATATTTTCTAGTTACCTATGATTCGTATTTTTAAGAGACAAATGCACCCATCAAGATGATATAGTTCAGGTATCTAACTGATTCTTGTGGTAAACTAATATTACTTGATCGAGCATGATGATAAATAAACAAAAGTCTGTTTTGGTATGTCTTTCCGTTGTTTGCGTGATGAGTTATAATTGAGTGATTTATTTGATGTATGTCTCATGAAATTAAAATCCTTGAAAGCCTAGACGATCGCATTTTCAGCAGACATGTTGTTCATAGAGAAATCTTATAGTTTCTACTAAGAAAGATTGCAAGATTTCAGCTAAAAGGACAGCATTCTTCGTTATTATATTCATATTTAACAAGAGGTTTCTGTTTAAAAAAAAACTGTTTGTCTGATAATTTAATAGCTTGATAAGAATACATATATTCGAGTTTCCAAACTTGAAATATTTCTAATCACTATAACATCTATGTACGGCTAAATTTTGATCATACAAGTTTTTTCTAAATCGATACAACTTGAACGAACATAAAAATGCTCATAACTGAACAAAGTGAAGACTAAAAAATTAAATCAAGACATCATTTTCTGATATGCATCGAGACCGAACGATTACTGATAATCTCGAGCCAAAAGTCATCAGACACTGGAAACGTTGACTTGTGAGTCGACACTGTGTATTCGATTATATAAATGGACTAACCAATGAACGAAAGAAAAAAAACCCGATAATATATGTACAACACAATTCCAATACTAACTGATTACATATAAATATATGGGCTAGTATTTTCATGAATTTTATCTTCCAAAAAAATTATTTTAGACGTAATCAAAGATCAGTGCCTGTTTGTTATTTAGATTTTCAATTAAAACGTTATATGAATTGAGAAATTATTTTTGGTATTTCAAAGCTCTGTGGTATAGTATTGTCGCTAGTGTATATTTTATATATGAATTTGATGAAATTTGTTTTGCTATTCAACGAATTATATAATGTTGAAAGTTTTAAAATTTTTGTTTGATAATGATTTAAACATTCTTCTTTTCTTTCATTTCATCGGGAAAAATCGACTTTGGAACTAAATGAAACAATCAATGTTTTCAAGCGGGATGACCTAGTAGTGGCACCCTACCATCAAAATTATTATTAATTAATCAAATTTTGTCATGCTATGGTATGTTCGTGTAGTTTAATTAATATATAGAATTATAAACAACAATGAACATGAATCCAGTTTCTTACCTGTCAATGATGAAAAAACCACTGAGAAAAAAATTACACATGTGCTCATTCAAAAAAGGTTAAAATAGCACTCATGATTGTAAAAGTAAAGTTCAAGTTCGAAATAGGAAGTATTCCTCTCAGTCGTCGCGTGTTAAATAAGTGGCAAATGACACATAGAATAAATTGTTTTCTCAATTCTATAATAACCACAGAGCAAATAGTTACTTAATTTTGATCTATATTAATTTAAAATCTAATAAATTATTTTGTATCTTTTCTTTAATAGAACGGATATATGACTAATAAATCTTAGTTTTTCTTTGTTATATATACTGGGAATGATTCTTAATTTTGACAAGTAGTCAATCAACTGATTCAACATCGCCTGTTTCAATGGTTTATTTCTAGCTGAATAAATAAATTAATCCTAAAGGAAATTCATTCCTTTTCGCAGAGGCTTCTTTTTTATTATGAAATAGAGTATGATAGTTGCTCAACGAAAAAAAACATGTCTTTTCCCTTCGGCATAGCTTAAACAAGATGAATTTATATTTTTAATTTATGCATCAAATTTTGTTTTTCAAAAGACCTGATTAAATTAAATATATTTCTTAGAATAAATTATAATTTATACTTCTGAAAACACTAGAAAAATATACTTTTACCGTGACCAAAAAAGAAAACTATATGGCAAGAACCTACTTCAACTCATGTTATTTATAATGCATTGGAATATTCGACACTTATGACTCCTATTTTAATAGAAGTAATAAAATGAAATTTTAAGTGCCACAGACATAACTTGAATTGCATTATATGTTGTTCAATCTTTTTTTTACGTATCTACGCATTTAAATAATTATATTATTTGAAAAATAGATCGTGTAATGCTCCATATACATATTCTATATAAATGAGTAAATAATTATTTTTATTTCATTAACTTTGGAAGTATCCTTTATACAAAATTTTTATTAAGAATATTTGATGAAGTGTTGCCGAGAGTATTTAATAGATACATAGAAGTTTTTCTGAATGAATCCCAAAGATCTTGTCTTTTTTTCGAAGCTCAATAGATTCCTAATCAATAATAGCAAAACAGAAAAACCTTTCTTCAATAAATCTAGCACTACTCAGATTTTCTTGCTTATCAGATTATGAGAAAACAGGACATCGCAGATAATGAAATATTTCTTTTACTACTTTTATTATTTTTGTCGTTTTTGTTCTTTCTTTCTTCCTATCTTACTTCTTAGCATGAGTTTTCAATTAACTATCAGTACTAGCGATACACAAACATCAAAATGAAAAACAATGAGAACAAAAGTCTATAGATCTTGTTTTCGGTTCATTCAAGAAAGATTCAATTGAAGATGTTAGGTTCAAGATGAAAACAAGACAGTAGAATTCTATGCCATACAAAAAGTTAGCCACATATTCAAGCATTCATAAGAACGGAAAAAGCATTTTATTCTATTCCGATGGTGATAGTCGTACGATTCATGCTAGTGGCCGCTTTCTCTCGTCTAAACTGGGAAGAACAACTATAACCGGAGAGGAAAAAAAGAAGAAAGAAAGAAAGAAAGAAAGGAGAAAAAAAGAAAATTATTTTGACAAACAACAGTAGATTCATACTTGCTTACATGCTATGCTGCCATAAGCTAATACGAATTTCTGATACGTTTTCCTCGTCTTCAAATGAACTCTATTCAAATATTATTTCGAACGATAGATTTCTACTCTTCCTAACAGTATCATTCATTTCCTAATACATATAAGTAGACAATAAAACAATGCTAAGAAACTTTGAGGAATCTAGGCAAAAGACAATTGATAATCATATTATTGATACGAAATTAATTCCATTTATATTATCTATGCATTGAATCCGTTTCTTTTCAACTTCTACAAGTGAGAAAAACATCATTTGTAAGTGTGTGTAATACTGTGCATCTAAATTTGAATGTGTTATAGAATGAAATCGGAGATGAAGTAGAGAACCACGGCACGAGTACTAGATACAATTGTAAGTATCATATTTAGTACAAGAAGCTAGTAGAAGCAAGGATAATTTAGTTCTTTTTCTCCTCCTGATCGTGTTTCAAAGTCAAAGTTCGTAAGCGAATACGAGTACGATATATTTTTAATCATTAAATATGAACAGTTGAAATTCAAGATCAATGTTGTGATGTCGATTAGGGAAAATAATAATCGAAGGTTAATATAAAATATAGTATTTACTCACCTATCACCATGGGATTGAGTTGCTGTTTTTAAGGATTTTTTTTTGCTTTGATCATAAGTAGTTTACACTCGAAAGTATTCTTTTAATATTTTAATAGAGAAGCAGCAGACATTTTTCGTCGTTTTTTTTCAGTTTTAGTAAATGTAGGGTACAGTACGGTTTAACGTACTCAACAGGTTTTTTCTTCATTTATTCTACTTATAAAAACTACACAACGAATAATTGATTAGTATTTTTTTTTTGTTATTATTATTTCCCATTTCTTGAAGTAATGAATGCAGTCAATTAATAGAGTATATACACATGTCTATACAAAATTATTTTTAATATTCTAATATACTATTTATTTATTTGTTTGTTTATTTATTTGTATTTTCCTTGTATTTTTCTAGTAGACGATATAAAATTAATCGACTAAGATTTTTCTTTTTCTTCTTTCAGATTGAATATCAGTGGTAATCAAATCATCGATCGGAGACTATTTATTATTGCACTTTGGAATACGAAGATTCTCTTTAGATTTTATTAGAAAAACAGCGAGAGTAATTTTGTTTAAGATTTCTATTTTTCTGTTTCTTGTTCACTTGCACATATTAAAATTACTTATCAATAGAGGCAGCATAAACTCTAAGTTAGCGTAGGTCGTCTGATGAGCTCCTATAGGCGATATACTCTTTGAAATATCTTCTTCGCTTCTTCGCTTCTTCTTTTCATTCATTCTACGAGCTAACATCATTATTAATAGAGCAGTCAGTTGCGGAGAACAGAAGAATGAGAAAGAGAGCCAGACAGTTGCAAAAAAATAACGAGAGAACGCAATGCTGGTTTTCTGAGGAAAGTTGCAGTCGGTATCGTCTTTCTTCTTCTTCTTATAAGAAAAACGGAAGATGGCGATGAGGAAAAAGAGAAAGAAATAGAAAAAGAACTGAAATATGTTGATGATTGGTGAGAGACAGTTATCGGAAAGGCAGAGAGCAAGATAGTACAACGTGCTGTCTGCTGCGCATCGTGTCATATTTGATTTATAGCAAGTCTTCATAGTGATGCTTATTAGTTATCTTTTTCTAACATGATAGATACTAAATATTCTTGTAAAATTTTATTTCTCTTCATAAGGATTCTATTTGATAGTTTTTGATGAAAAACAAACATAATGCCTGCTGATGTGTCATAGTTTATTGAAAATATGAATACATAGCTTGAGCTATATAATTTCGGTCATATAAACATGTATATATTTGATGAAGTCTTTGAAATACTTTTGATGAAAATAAGAAGTAATCTTATTCCAGATAAGTATATATATATATATGGGTTTTATTTAATCTATAGTCTTGTGGCATATGCATCCTAGTTTCTTATTATTATTCAGTAGAAATATCTTTGAAGAAAACCATTTTGTGACTCATCAGAGGTGTAAATCAAACAAATCGTAGACGTCAACTTTATATTTTCTCACCTGGAGCATATTTATTTTACGTTTTTGTATACCATCACCGAATCATTTTGTTTTTTTTCTTCTTTACCTGATCGATCGAAGCTCGGCTTTTTTTATTATTGCTTATAGAAATATTTTATAAATTCTAAGTTTTTCAATAGTAATATTCATTATAGAACATGAGTGCATTCTTTGCTACTCGATTCTTATCTTGCCAAGGTCGCTCAATAACCTTTTCATGGCAGCGCCTTAATTCTTTGTTGGTTCTCCTTTGTTTCAGAGTGGTTCTGGCTGCCATTTTGACGCATCATCCTCTTTGTTATATCCAGAATATTTTTTATAATGCAGAATCAGAATCTAGTTTGCAATTTGCCAGATAACTTTATATATCTATTCCCAATTATTAAGGTCAAATTTTGTATGCAAGTGATTGTTGTTTTTTCTTACTCAATGTCTCTTTCGTGTATTGATTGTATTGCTTTCTTAAAGAATCATATTTTTTATTTTTGTTTTCGCTTTTAGAATTATATATATATATGAAGTAAGATAAAAAAAAACAAAAATATAAATATGTCTGAGCCATTCGATGCATTTCCAACTTGTCCACCGATACCAACTGGTGGAGATCATACAAATGTTGATTCATCAGCAACAGCAAATACTCCTATATCAGACTTTCGACGGAATGAAGCTCGGCCAATAGTATCTGACGATTGTAAGTGATGAAAATCGATTTGGCTTTATTCTTTAGTTTTACATATTAAAAGCATTTGATTTGCATTTTAATTTACATATAGATCGACATAAATCGATATATCATCAACCGAGTTTAACAACATATGGTCCAAACGAAAGACGTCGTAAACGTCATCGTCGGTCACGACAACCCATAGGGCAGAATGACTCGTCATTCAAACCAGTAACATCTGATGGAACGAATGATTCCGAACCCCGTAAAATAAAAAATTGCTTTTTTTCTGAAATTTACAATAGTAAAAACCTATTTTTTTTCTATGAAGAAAGTCCCGGTGCACGTGTTCAATTTTTGCTTGGCGATGAAGATCAAGAATTTGATGATGAAGAACATAAACCTCATGATTTATTTATTGAATTAAATGAATTAGTAGCTGATAGAGAAAAACTCAATGAATCTGGTGAACCAGTTGATCACGGTTGGAAAGAAACTGCTAGGTAGAATAGAATATATTTTTCTCATCTAAGAAAAGCAATAAGAAAAAAAAGCATTCATTTATACGCGTCTCTTTCAGATGGGTAAAATTTGAAGAAGACGTTGAAAGTGGTGGTCGATGGAGTAAACCACATGTTGCTACATTATCATTACATTCATTACTTGAACTACGAAATTTTATCTCAAAAGGAAGCATCATACTTGATATGCATGCTGATCAATTACCTGTTATTGCTGGTTGGTAACCGATTATCTTTAAATGAATAGTAATTTGTATGAATTATGTTCTTAATTAGATATGATTCTTGATGATTTGATTGCTAATGATTTATTGACAGCAGATAAACGTTTTATTGTACGTAATGCACTTCTTTTGAAACATGTCCATCAGGTATGTTTATTTTGATTTTCACACATGAATGATTTCATATAAAAAACAATATGATATTTAGCATGAGAAAGAATTTCATCGACAATTACACTCACAAGAAATAAAAAAACCGTTACCATTTACACGTTCATTAGCAGAATTCTCACGAAATCGTTCACAGAAAGATGTAACTGCACCAAATCCTGAACAAGCAGCATTAACATCAACTGCGAGTAGCTCAGTTTTAGCAACAAATCCAAGTCAATCACCAACACATACTGTTAAATGTAAGACTTAAAATAAAAGCGAAAGAATTTATCATAAAAAAGAAGTACTCAAATATTTCATAATAGCAACAGGTCAAACATCTGTAGACAAATTTCTGTCAGGTATTTTTTATTTATTTATTTATTTATTCATGCGTATCCCGTTTGTCGCACCATGTTTCGTTTGTATGTGAGCATATTTTACACTTAGTCCTTCCTTATGTTTTCTGATTGTAATCAGCGATGCGCTTTCCATTATTTGACCTTCCCTTGTGAGCTGTTCTCACGCCACGCATAAAAGCACTAAAAGAAGAAAAAAACTCCCGAATAGTTATTGTGCATGAGAATGATAATTTTTCCATCCAAAAATGAAACGTTAATGAATTTGAAAATAGATAATTATGAATTTCATGAATAAACAAAATTAAGAATTATTTTAGTCGCTATTGGTGAGCAATCAAAGCCAAAATTAAGTGAAAATGACGAATCTACTGTCGGTTTACCAACTGCTGAATCACGTGTTAAAGTAAAAAGGATAAATAAAAAAGTTCTTTGAGTATTTAATCGGTCACTGTGTTTCTAATAGATCAATTTGCATTTTATGAAAAAAGTTCCAGCAAATGCTGAAGCTACAAATGTTTTAGTTGGTGCTGTAGATTATCTTCAAGCGCCAATCTATGCATTTGTTCGTCTAGCAAAAGGCGTAACATTACCTGATCTTGTTGAAGTTGCATTACCAACACGTTTTCTGTTTGTTCTTCTTGGACCATGTAATGAACATTTACGTTATCATGAAGTTGGACGTTCCATAGCCACATTAATGGCCGATGAAGTATGTACATATACATATAGTTGGCAGAAAAATAAATTCCATTCTAATGTTGCTTTACAATTTCATTTTAGATTTTTCATGATATCGCTTATCGAGCACGCAACCGAGATGATTTACTTGCAGGTGACTAAGAAAGGTGATGTAGTTAAGAAATAGTTAGCGTAAATAAAAAATATCGAATAAGAAATAGATCGAGAACTATGAAATATCGACGAACAAAAAAAAATGAAAATGCTTTAAAATTTGATATGTCTAGGTATTGATGATTTTCTTGATCATGTCACGGTATTACCACCAGGCGAATGGGATCCTACAACACGTATTGAACCGCCGAAAAGTGTACCAAATAAAGTAAAATCAAGATATATGTTTTCAGTCAACTTTCGAATATTTAAATGAAATCAATTATAGGAAGACAGACTGGAACGAAACAAAGCCAATGGTCTTCCGCAGATGGCTGTAACGGAACATGTTGAACATGAATTTGATCCATCACTAGCTCGAACAGGAAGGTTCGTTAGGCATATTCAATTTAAAAAAATAAAAGAAATCATTCATTTTTGTTCGTATTTTGTTTTTGTATATTAGATTTTGTGGTGGTCTTATCGATGATATAAAACGTAAAGCACCATTCTATATCTCAGATTTTACGGAGGGTATATCATTTCAATCAGTTGCGGCAATTATTTTTCTTTATTTTGCTTGTTTATCCCCCATTATTACATTCGGCGGTCTTTTAAGTAAAGCAACTGATAATAATATGGTATTTAATAAATACTGATAGGTTTTTGAAATGATAGAAACTTCTTTTTCTTTCAAGGCTGCAATTGAAAGTCTTCTATCGGGCGCCATATGTGGTATTTTATATCATTTATTTGCTGGGCAACCATTGACCATCTTAGGCAGTACAGGTCCTGTACTTGTTTTTGAAACCATTGTCAATCATTTTTGCACGTAAGATCGTAACAGAAATTTCTTCTTTTTGCTTTCTTTTAAACGAAAAATAATTTAATATTAATTGTAGAACTCATGGATATGACTATATGAATTTTCGTTGTTGGATTGGTCTATGGACAGCAACGATATTATTTATTATGGTTATTACCGATGCAAGTTATCTTGTGAAATATATAACAAGATTTACAGGTTAGTTGCTCTTTTTTTTCCTTTTTTTTATAGATGAATTCGTTTATTAAATAAAATTATAAATATATTCGAAAATGATCACGGAGAGTTCATTGCATTTTATTTATTCAAGCATGATTTCTTTTGATGAATATTCTATGAGAATATAAATATATTAATGAATAAATGAATGAAATGTATCAAAATAGGTAAAGAAAAGAAGCGAAGAAAATAGACAGATCATTTCTAGCGTGACTTAATTCAACGCTTAGATGTGTTATGTTTCAGCATTTTTTTGTTTTTTCTTGTTTTGTTTTTCTAATATGACTCAACCTAATCAGATCATAATAGATTAATACTATGAAATAATGAGTAGCTCGAGAATTGAAAAATTTTTGTTCAATCAATCTAAAGATTTTCACAATAGTAATTCTCTATCAAAATTTTAAGTAATCCAATCGTCGTTCTACGAACTCCATTGGGATTTCTCGGCGACATATTTATTTATAGAAAAACGAACAAAAAATTTTCTAAGGAATAAACTTTCATTTGATATATTTCTTTTTATCATTTCTCTAGAGGAAAGTTTCGCTGCTCTTATCGGCATTATATTTATCTATGAAGCTTTTGATAAAATGATTGAAATTAATCATAATCAACCTGTTCGATTACATACTGTTGAAACTTTACCATTAAATTGTACTTGTATAAAATCTGATGGCGCAGTGAATTGGACAGAAACAAAGACAATAAGCGTAAAGATACTTTTTTATTTTTATTTTGGAAAATGAAATTTTCTTCTTGCAAATTCAGAAATGCTTCCAAGACAAAGCTTACAATTTTATTGGTTCACAATGTGATAGTTTAAGTACAAAAGCATATGTCCCAGATGTATTTTTCTTCTCAATTCTTCTATTTGCATCAACATTTATATTAGCATATACATTAAAAAACTTCAAGTTTTCTCGATTTTTATCGATGGGTGTTCGTATTCGATTCTTTTTATTTCTTCTGAAACTCCTATTGTTGCTAAATTCTTATTTAGATTCGTTCAAGAGTGAGCGACTTTGGTGTTGTCTTAGCTATATTTATTAACGTATTTTTTGATTATTTAATGGGTCTTGATACACCAAAATTAAGTGTTCCAAAGAATTTTGCCACAACGAAACCAGGCCGAGGTTGGATTATAAATCCATTCGGAAAAAATCCTCCTTACATTTGGTTTGCTGCAATATTGCCAGCACTATTAGCTACAATACTTATTTTTATGGATCAACAAATTACAGCAGTTATTATAAATCGAAAAGAAAATAAACTTAAAGTAATTTGAATGATAATTGTGATTCATAACAAAGAAAAAAACGATTCTTTATTGTTTTACTGTTTTATTTTTTGTAAATAGAAAGGATGCGGTTATCATCTAGATCTATTGATTGTAACAATATGTATTGTTATTAATTCTATACTGGGTCTTCCATGGTTTGTAGCAGCTACTGTACTTTCAATTAATCATGTCATTGCACTCAAACTTGAATCTGAAACAGCAGCTCCAGGTGAAAAACCAAAATTTTTAGGTGTTCAAGAACAACGCCTCACTGGTTTTGTTGTATTTCTATTTATTGGTCTTTCGGTATTTTTAACAAAACTCTTAGGCTTTATACCAATGCCAGTACTTTATGGAGTTTTTCTTTATATGGGTATATCATCAATGAAAGAAATACAATTAATATCACGTATATTATTAATCTTAATGCCTGAAAAATATCAACCAGATTATGTTTATCTTCGTCATGTTCGAACAAGTCGTGTACATATATTTACATTGATACAATTAAGTTGTTTAGTTCTATTATGGACGATAAAATCAATCAAAAGTATATCAATATTATTTCCCATTATGGTTTTAGCATTAGTTGGTGCAAGAAAAGCCATGGATTATATATTTACACAGCGTGAACTTGAATATTTAGATGATATTATGCCAGAAGTTGTTAAGAAAGAAATTGAAGAAAGACGAAATAGTGTTATTGATGAATCGGATTTAGATGGAAAGGTTTGTTTAGCTTCATTAATTAAGATTTAGAGAAAATTTCGTTTTTAATAACAGTATTTTGAGAATCAATGTAAAAATGTTGCATGAACTTCGATGTCTCGAATTCTGTTGAAGAGATAAGGTTTTCATGTGTCCCATATAGAATGTATTACATAAATACTTGTGTAACAGTTAATCTATATCTTCAAATAAAAGGCAAATATCTTAATTCTCTTTCACCAAAGAAATTCGTTCGAACATATATTTTAAGCAGACAAACAAGCAAAAGAGTCTGACGCGATACCGTATAAACGATATTAGTTAAGATAGGATACGGCTCAATTTCAAAAATAGACAACCGATGCTTTATTTTTGAGCTGTAAGTTGCAAAATTGAATGTTTAATTAAACTTTACATGTTGTTAAATTTCTTGTAGGCTAAGATGAATTCATTTTATACAAATGCTATCGTTCGTTGTAATTAATACTTACATTTAGAGAGAAAGAGAGAGAGAGACATCCGAAAAACATCGCTGATAGGACCATGTACTCAAGATAAACATTGGGTTTTTTTCTCTAAAAGAGAGATAAACATTTCTTCACCTGTTTTGCTGAACATTCAACAAGATCGTAGAAGAACGGAATGACTGAGCTTTAAAGTCATAAAATAAAGATTAAACATGCAAGAAGTACTTTGATATCATTCACAATATGTAGTCTGCTACTAATTCATGAGTTTCTAGAGCATATGCTTTTTAATCCTACGGATTATCGCGTTTCATTTATAATTTATTTTAAATTAAAAACTTCTTTAAATAATTAGAGACTGTTGTATTTTTTAGTCAAGGCCTTTTTATTATTAATGTTTTTTGAACTTTTTCTAGAACCATGAATCAGTCACAATTGATAATGGCGGAATTCGTACAGCAGCTAGCGATAGTGTAGCAATGAAAGGACCAACAAAAAATGTTAAAGTAATTATTGATTATTTCGTCTTTGTTTCCTCATCAAATATTTCTTCGGTTTGTTTTACCTCTACAGATTGATCCGTCAACAGGTGTCATCAATTTTTCTGAAGAAGTTGGTAAAACATCAATGTGGAAATCAATATCGAAGACAAAAGATAAAGAATCAACAGCGCCCGAAAGAAAAGAACATCAAAAACAGTCAACAACTGATAAACCATCACGTGGATCAGCTTTGAAAAAAAAGTTCTTATTTTAATTAATAAAAACCAATTCAACATTGATAGTTCTTTTTTTTTTGATTTTAGAATCCGTAAATTAAGTATAAGTTTGCTTGGTCCAGATGAAGAGCGTCCATTGGTAGCTCCTTCGCATGAACTAACACTTACTCCATTAAATCAACAACTACCGTCTATCGTAGTTCAACAGCCAGACGCATCAATACCAAATGATAATTCTGATCAACGTCAACGAACTAGCTCAAATACGAGCAATAATAATGAGACAACAAAAATGTGATGAAACTTTTTTTCTCTTTGTTTTCTTTCTTTCTTTTTAATTTCCAATGTCGAACTTATTTTTACCCTCAGATAGTTGTAAGAAGCAGTGATCAATTTATGTTTTTCTTTTTATTTAATTTCGAGAACAAAATTCTTCATGACAAGCAGCGCATGCATACGTCTTTCTTGATAAAGACTAATGAAATTCACGCGTGACATGTATGAAAAACTCAGTAGACATTTATTTTATCAGTTTATACCATCTCTCTCTCTCTCTCTCTGTTTCTTCCATTTTTATTTATAGAATCATTTTTCCTTATCTTTATGTACTAATGAGTAACCGTTTGTCTATCTGCTTTCAATAGTTTATATGTGTGTGTATGTTCGTATCTAATAAGTTGTATTGTTTAGTTTGGTTTTCGTTGTCTGCCTTGTGCTGGCCGCATTAACAATTTATTTGTAAAACTAAATGAAAACATTTAAAAAAATCATGACGAGAAAAGGTTAGCAGAAACTATAACACTATTTTATAGCCTAGTAACTCATAATGTCTTTATGATTTGCATCGCTAAATAAATATATGAGAAAAATATATTTCAAATTACTATATTGTACAGCCCTATTTCCACTGTTATGTACTAGAATAATAGTTTGATCATATCTGTATTTCACGCACAAGGACATGTACGTAAATCGATTGATTAATATTTGTTTTCCCAAACATTCATATTGTGAATTTACTCATCATATCACCCACAAAAACACGATAAAGTCAAAAAATATTTGCACGCATAAATGGCAAACACCTTTTTTTTGTAATGGTTTTTCTTCAGTTCGAATCAAATGAGTTAATGGAAGTATTGAACATAGATAACAATATTTTATTACTATCACAGAAATAAAATATTTTTTTATTTTCTAAGGGTGAACTGATGTATAATAGTTACTATAGAAAAACATAAATATACTTAATTTTAGTGTTTTAACATGAATATGAATCTGTTCAGAATTCATACTATTTACATGATACGCGAGATGGTGAAATAAGTATTCATTTCGATTGCTATAAACTATTATCCAATGTAATCTTTTAAATACTATCGGTAGATAATCATATAAAACATTTAAATAGTATTCTATGATGAATACATATTTCATTGAACTTCATGGATTCATATGAGAAATATTCGACGTTTTTATCTTATATGTATATCGGCGAATCATTTTAAAGATAAATCAAATAACGAACAGTAGGGAAATCTATATATTTATAAGCGAGTTATCATGTTCTGAGAATCTCTCCTTGGTTTTTATGGCATGATCGGTTCTCCACAATCTTCAATCATAAAATCTTTAAAGTTGGGTAAAAAACTATATTTATAGATCTAATTAGCTATTTAATTTCCTTTTTGAAATTGATAAGAAGACTCTATGTTCTCAGTGAGTTTTTTTTATAGTGTGCTGTTTACCGGAAGAGCAGACATGTCAAGAGCTTCGTAGGACAAATTCTTTCACGTGCACCTGTCGGCTTCGTTATATATTCACGTCACAACGTATCATTGAATTTCCGTTTCATGAATGATAACTATGTACGGGAACCACTGGCTACTGCACAGATAAACAAAAGTTCAACACTCGACTTGTCTTAATGTTCCGAACAATTTATGTTTGTCATTTGACAAAAAAAATCATCCTATATTTACCATCGAGAAAACAGTCCTAACACAAATTCTCTTTATCAAAAAAAAAGACAATCATCATGAATCCGACTGATTGGTTCCTGGTATTGGTCCAAGTAGTTCAATGTTTGTGATACGAATCATAGTCAATGGATCCCTCCAAACTATAAAAGAAAACGGTTAAGTTTTCTTATGATAATCATAAAATTTTACATACGTAAATTTCTATCACCAACTTTTTTCTTTCTTGGTGCATACCAATATTCCATTTGAGTTTGTGATAAAGTTTTTTCAATGACAATTCCTTCAACTCGAACGAAATGTGGATTAAGAATAGGTCGTCCAACGACTGTAAAATCTGAACTACCAACAAGAAGAACCTTAAAACGAAAACGAAAACGAAAATAATTATTTTTCTTATCATTTTCTATTCAATTAGAGAAACTAACTTTTTCAAATCGAATTCGATCACCAATTGTTGGATGAAATTCATCAACTTTACAAATAATATCTTCTGTTGTGACTTTTCTTTGTTCATTACCAATTTGAATCACAGCAAATAGTCGACGATGAAATTTATCCTTAACAAGATTATTTACGTTAGTATACAATTGCTGAACTTCCTTATCGTGGTGAACATTATCGGGAACGAATTTTCTGTATAAAATAAAAAGCGAAGTTTGTTTTTTCTCGTCTGTTGAATTCAATAAGAAAACCTTACGGGATAGTTCGCACGAACATTGAATGTTGTTGAAAGATTGATCTCTGCTTTACCAATAGAGATAAACATCTTGTTATAGTATTCATCTCAAAGAACAAAAAGAAAGAATTTCATTTATTAACATCTGGCTTCAAACAAAATCACAATTATAATCGAATCGATGATGTTGATATTTTGTTTATACACAACGAGAGAGAAAAAAATAAACAAATAGGATAAATATATAGTTCGTATTACACTTGAAAACTTCTTAATTAAATCGCTGTAGCACCAATAAGACTCGAACCATCTTCACCCACTTCAAGAAATTGCCGACATTGATCTTGTATGCATTCACCTTTCGGTGTAATTAAAAAACGAGAATATGAGCCGTCAGAACAAAGAGCTTTAGAAATAAATAACAAAAAAAAACAAATGATTTCATAATCTAACGAGAAACAAATACGACATACCAATCACTGTTTTATTAGCATCTGAATTAGGACCAAATGCGCAAATACTGCTCGTATTTTCTGGTAGATGAAATTTGCAAGAACTCCATTGTGAATTAAAATACTTGGGTAAAAATGCTACAGCACTGCTTTTCAAAACAAACTCAATAAAACAAAAAACATTTCGAAAAATAACAACAAAAACAAACCTTGCTGAACGTGTTTTATTCTTATTTGATTCTTCTATATAAAAAATATGTACCGTTGAATGATCACTGGATACACATAAAAGTGTTGAATCTTGATTAAAATTTATACTAAAAGCGAAAAAAAAATAAAATTATGAATCAAAATTTACCTAAAAACCTATTACCAGTAAATTGTTGCATGATGAGCACCACGTCTTAGCTCATTCAGTAATTGACTTGTGTCTGTATCAAATATTCTTATCAAAGTTCCCTATAATTTTACGATAATAATAAATTTCAAAACAAATTATGACAATTCAATACTTTTTCAGAGGCAGTAGCTAATCGTGTACCAGTCATATTCATAGCAAGATCTATAAGTTTAACATTATTATTTGGTTATTTCAATCATCAACAAAACTTACACATAATAGATGCTTCATGTGCATGAATTTCCACAACAGGTTTTTCTGTTGCAGCTAAATCAACTAAACAAACTTGACCAATTGTTCGACTAGGATAAGCTATAAATGATTTTGAACCCGATGGACATACAACGCAAAGACCTATTGGAATTGATTGATGAAATTGCAAACGAAAAAATAGAAAATTTCAATAAATAAATGTATTCGTACCACGAGTATTAGTACACGTTTCAAAAACATGTAACTGTTGAGGATTTTGTGTAAACGTGTAAACTTTGATCATTGTTTCAAGAATAACAATAATTCTAGCCGAATACGAAGAAAATTTTTTGTATTCGTTTCGTTTGAAAATAGAGTGTTTTTCATGCATACCTATCTCGACGTAAACGAACACCTTTCACCTCTGTTGAAAATTCAAGTTCAATAACGATACGTTTCTTTGCATCATCCCAAATCATCACTGTTAAAAAGAAGAAAAAATGTACAATCATCTTTCATCTCTTTGATGATTGCCTAATAGCATAACTCCGAGATCAAAGTGTAATTTTTTTGTTTTGTAAAACATTTATCATATTTCAACAAAAATTCATTGTATTCATTATTGTTGTGCTTTCGTATTACTAACCTTTTGATGGAGAATATTTAGGTGATTTTCCACCACCAACCAGTGCAACATAGTTACATCGAAATAACATTTCTACTTGTCCAATACCACCATCTCCGAAATCTACAAAAAAAAATGAATATAATGCTAGAAACAAACATGAACTTTTAGGCTTTACCTTGCCGTTGTGTTTGACGCAGTGGATCTGCATTATATATACGAAAACCATTTTCAAGACCACACGCAAAACAATCTACAGATGATTTCTTTAACTAAAGATAAGAAAATAAATATTATTAAATCTTACTAGCATCTTGATTGAAGCCAACAAAAAGTAGGCCATCTTTGGCCGATTTTACACTGCCGAGATTCATCTCATTCAATATGGCATGAGACAATACTTGGATTATAATTCTTGTCGAATATTATTAGTTGCATATATGAAAAGAATTATTTTACATATTTGTTCATCAAACACACCAATCAAAATAGAAGGAAAGAGATGGCGTATCAAAATACAGAGCATGCTAGGATGATAAATAATATCGTTTTTGTGGATTTCTCTTGTTGTCACTGATACTGTTCGAGATTTGGTGTCATTATATTTCATGAACAATGACACCTCACTTATTTCATTTTGGCCCAAAGATTATTATGTCATATTCAATCATTCTAATTTACACCCATACCCATATTAGCGACAATGATCGTTTACCAGATAGAAATGCAATTTCAATGTTTATTGTTGTTACTTTTCTAGGTCTGGCTGAAACGTTGTTATGCATAGGCAAATAATCTATGGCTTATTCAAAATGCAATAATACAAGTCGTAATTAGAGTAGTCACTTGCTTAAATTGTAGCTTAGTTTATTAAAAGTGCACCATGATTCTCAAATATATACCAGAAGTGTCTTAACTTAAACCCTCGGCTCACACACTGCTTTTCTCGTGTATGTTGTCGACGTTAAGTGCATGAAAACAAATGAGTTAATTCGAAAGCGTATGGTATGGGTTTGAAAATCTCTTTATCTAGTTTCGATTGCGACAAAAGTTAACTAAACAGTTTTTCTCTACTGATTACACGATTAAAAAAAATCAAATTTATTTTATGACATGCAATCCAGTTTCTTTTCATTTCCTGTACGATTATACCCTTGAATCAGCTGTAAGTATCTGTGTAGAAGAAACCAATATGTATATAAGCAGATCCTAATTTTTGTAAATATTGAAAATTAACGTCGATCTTTTGATCATTGATGGTAAATACTAGTGGTATGTAAACATTGGCCAGCTCAACTGATGAACGACACAATTAATGCTATTCTACTGTTAGTATAAGGTTGAAAATTCAGCTTCGATCAATGATGAAGATCGATATCATTCATTTAAATTGAATATAGTAAATCAACCGTCAGTACAGAATCGAGCATCGATTGTTTGAAACACTTTTATTTATCTGAATATGTGATCTTCATGGATTTCAAGCTGATTTTAATTCTAAAAAGTTCTGTTCAATATTTGATTTTGTTGCAGAAAGTCAAAGAATAGAACGAGCATACTTCGAAAGACAAGATGTTGGTTTTTTTCGTCTTGCTAATAGTGATGAGTGTGCGACAACAGTGAACTATCGAGATTTAAAGTTGCAGTTGATGGGGATTGAATTCATTTATTTTATTCTTATCTCTGTCTTACTCGGATGAGACTTAATGTCAATCATAAAAATAAAAATATATTATCTATCACTCGATAGAACACCATAAGTTGTGTATGCAAGATGAAAAGAGTTATCTTCACGTTTGAATGAGCTAGAACAGATTTGACAAAAGGAAAAGCCTCCAAAAATTAGCATATATCATATTCAAGTGCCGAGCAGAAGTAGGGGAGAAATAGAACTCACACTTCCCAGGTCGAACAGTTCGACCTGGAAACGGCCGGTTCCGATCAATTCCTACCGGAAAGCACCTGAACTTAGCAGGAATCCGCCGGGAAAGTTCGGCTATATTTTTCACCGGAATACTGCTTCCATGTTCCAGCGGTTTTCCGTGTTTTCCTGCAGGATATGGTGACTTTTCCGCATATTTCCTGGAGTATCCTACGGGATCCGGTGGCAGGAATGTTTGACCTGGGTCTCGTTGGAAATCAATTAAAATGAATCAGCTTTTTGATAATTTTCAATTGATCTATGAATGATTCAAATCGTTTATTTTCCCGTTTGATGGTATCTTTTGTTTCACATTTTCGTAAAAACCTAAAAAATGCATCGTTTGTCAAACACAAATTAGTCTCTATACGGTTTTAAGCATACTGATATATTGTACTTCTCTGTCTCTGTGGACAATTTTTGCAAATAAGAACAATATATCTATTGATATCTCAAGTTAAAGCACACTAAAATATGAATTATACTATATTAGCTATCATGGAACTAAACATTACCAAATCATGCATCAAAAAGATGTCACTAACTATCGCATTTTATAAAAAACGCAGCATCAAGAACCAATTGTAAAATACTTATTATAGGTTGAAAAATCGCAAAAAGCTACTCGTGATTGAGAAAGTATGATTCATTGATCATAAGCATAGTTTTTGTATTTTACTCAGTATATGTGTTGATTGTTACATACAGAGCTAAAACCCATTTTCTCGACAAAATAATTATTTTCCCAATTTGTTAATATCTGCAAAAATGTCAACTTCTGATAGAGACGATGATAGTAATGATGAATTCGAAAGTGCCGATGAAGGTGAACCAACAACTCCTCCAATAACTAAATCTGAAACTTCACTACCGCTGCCAACGGCAAAACCTGCAACTCCACCGCCTCCTCCAGTTATTAGACCTGCAACTCCACCGCCTCCTCCAGTTATTAGACCTGCAACTCCACCACCTCCTCCAGTTATTAGACATCCAACTACACCTCCAGTGTCTAAACCTGCAAGTCCACCACCTCTTCCAGCAAGTAAATCTGTAACTCCACCTCCTCTTTCAATAACTAAAGTTGCAACTCCACCTTCTGCAATTACATTTGCAAGTTCTCCTAAAAAGATGGATCCATCATCCTCATCCACGGTAGCTAAACCTCTAATTCTCCCTCCTGCATTGTCTCCATCTGATCCAAAACCATCATTGGCCAGTGACAATCAAGTTCAATCAAGACCTGATTCACCAATAGTAACTGATGGTTGGGATGATTGGAATATTGATGATGAACAACCAATTGAAACTTCAATAAAAATTTCCAAAACATTAAACCAAGATTCTATATCATCTCATTCATCGACACCTTCAAAAGTAGGTGATAATTTATCGCTAGTTGGTTCTGATGAAGATGATCAATCTGAATCATTCGATCAACTACATGTACAACGGAAAAAATATCATAAAGAACAAGCGGACTTAAATTTAAACAAAGAAGATAATAAATTACACACTCAAGTATCCACTTCAAATGAGCAGCAGCATCAAGAAACATCGTCATCAATAAAAGCAACCAAAAAACATGAGCATGATGTCAAAGATGCACATCGTATTCTAGACCAACTTGCTGAACAAACACCAAAAAATGCAGTAGATTCAATAGCTATTCTTTTAACTAAAAATCTATATGATTTTGTCTTAGTCAACTTGGCATAATCCATGGAGTAATTTTGGATCATTATTATCAACAGCTAAACAAAGTGTTTCAACATTAACAAACACAGTTAGTATGTATCGATAATATTCACAATTATAATATTTCAAAAACAAAAGACATGCATCTATTATTTCAGGTGAAGGTTTTAGTGCTGTTATTGAGTCGGTTGAAGCTGGTCTTGGTGCGCCGGATCCACAAAAATTAGCCGAAATGAATCAAATGGCGTTTAAAATTAAAGGCGAAACGTCGGATAGTGAAGATGGTTAGTAAAAGAATATTCTCTTTTTTTTTTTTCTTACATATATTTTATAGTCTGTATTGAAAATTCTATTTTTAATCATTCAAAAGAAAATATTTTAGTCTCTAAACTTAATATAATTATTCATTTTTAGAACCTGAAGTAACAACCAATGAGACAGAAAACGATGATTTCGTTACAAATCAAGATGGTTGGCTTAATGCTTTAAGTATAGGGAAACTAACAAATACCGTATGTCAATATAAACAAAATAACACTTCACGTTGTCTTGTTGTTTTCTAAAGGGTATGAAAGTTGTTGCTGGTAGTTTAGATGTTCTTGAAACTGTTGGTAAAAAAACATTTGATGTATGTATTGAATTGAAAAATTACCTTGAAATATATTGAAACTATTTTGTTTTTAAAACAAAAAGGTAATTAACGAAGCTGATCCTGCACTAAAAGGAACACGAGGTTTATTAAGAAAACAAAATCAACCTACATTATCTGAAGTAAGTTCTATTCAAAATAGTTGCGCATTTGGTTATTTCTATTTTCACTAAATAGATAATTCGTGAAGCAGAAACAAAAACAAAAACAAAAACAACTACAACAAAAATTGAAGCGACGACATTTTTACAATTATTTGAAAAGCATCAAGGTAAACTTTCTCTTCTTGCAAAAATAATATTTCAACAATTTTAAATTTATTTATCTTGAGGTCTTGCACATTTTGAAGCACTGGAATTATTATCAAATCAATCATCAATTACTTTACAAACAATGAGTCATGGAAACGAAAAATTTCTTGAACAAATCAATCATTATTTTCTATTAGAAGATGATGATGATGATCAAGAAATAAATAATGCATTAGATTCATCAATAGTCTACGACAGTAACGATAATAATCGTATACCAAGCTTAGAAATTGTATCACAAAAATTTACTACCTATCAAACACAATTACGGTCAACAGTATCAGTGGATAAATTACTTGAAGTTTATGAATCAGCTAATCAATTTCTTACTGAATGGGATTGGAGTGATACTGAACTTGATCAAAAAGTAAAAAAATAAAATAGCAGCCTAAAATTTCTCCGTACATCTCATGTATTATTTATTCTAGACATTATCTGATGAAGCTATTGATTCTTTGGCTATATTATGTGCGCGGATTATTGAATATTATCGTAAAACAGCTGAGTTATTTTTAATGGGTTGTAAAAGTTTAACATCATTTTCAATCGATATCGAATTATTAGCTATTTATGAGAAACAACAAAAAGATTTTTCAAATATGCTTGCCGGTATACCAAATTTATTTGCTAAATATATGAAACAAGCATCAAGTGGCGCTGATATGCCAATAAGATGTGATATTAAATTGAAGCAAAAACTTTTAAATCAAATGTTTATTCAATCATCAAGTTCACAAACCTATGCTTTCGATGCTTACGCTTTACTTAAACCTATTGTTAGTCAATCAATTTTATATCATACATCAACAACAAGATAGAGAGAGTCTTGTTTTTGTTTTGTATTGTATTTTGAGCTATTCAGAGTTTAAAATAGTCAATGGAATCTGGTTTCATTTATCCATATATATCTATAAATAAATATTTTTTCCTTTCATTTTTCTTTTGTGTGTACATGAAACACTATATAAATATATCATTTTTAACTGGGGTGTGCTGTACTTAACAATTTACATAATACTGGTGAATAGGGTGATCTTTATAAATAAAATATTAAAAAATCAGTATAACTGGTGCAAGTAATGCAAATAGAGGCGATGGCTAGAGGTTTTTAGATGAGACACTGCACTGATTTAGATATACATGTCTCTAATAGTTTTGATTGTAGCCTAAGACTACGCTAGTCTTGGATTAATATTGATTTCGCTGAATTTGAGAAAAAATTAGTAAATCGTGTGATTTTAGTCTTAAGTGAACATGAAAATTAAATCCAGAAAATTTGAATAATATCTCGATATTTAACTATTTTCTTTATTAAGCATCGATACCAAGCCAAGATAACCAACGGTTTTATCATATATTCATTATTAGTCTAAATTTGCATGTTGAGATTTATGTCATGCTGTCACATTCGTAGCATCATGTGCCTATGGGAAGTATAATGTCAACTTGCAAGCGCTAACTTGTATAGCAAGAGAAGTTTTGAAGATTGTTTATATATGAAAATATTAAAAATATTTTTTCTATTTTCTTAAATAAACAACTGTTAAAAAGCTATAACAAAACAGATGATGTTTTTGACTAAACAAACTGCGATAGAATATACAAAAGCGTTGAATTGTATTAACTGGAGTTGCATCTTGATAAATTTGTACTATAATAGGGTATAATATAAACGAAAGGGTAAGGCCGTAAATAAAAAATCTATCAAAAAGTACGCGTACTTATTGCATATATTTTTGCTTTGTTTATGAGACAAATCGTATACTATGCCTATGATGATTCTCTTTGTTTTGATGATAATAATGACGTATTATATTTGTCTTATATGTCGTCATAACCTTTTAAACCTTTTCTTTTAGTAATATTGATGTATCTTTTCTCCACCGAATCATTCAAGCTTCATTTTAAAGTCAATCTACATAATAATGAGATTCTATTTGCAGATACACAGCATGAAACTGTCCTCTCTCTTTCTCTGTTCAATTCAATTAAATGAAAACGAGAAAGCAAATCTAATGAAAGCTACAGATATTTTCACAAAAGGTATCATGCCAATAATATCTGTTTGTTTAGTCTGTTGTCTATACTAAACTGCCGGTCGCAAATCATTATTAATTGCAAAATATATAAAAATGATAAATAACTGTATACTCTAGTTAGTAGTAATTCTGACGTGACAGAAAATGTTTGATGATCAATAACAAAAACAAACCGATTGTGTTATATTAAGTAACATTTTCAGTACTCATCATTGTTGAAAAAATGCAAAGATATAAAATATATTTTATGATACTGTAATTGAAAATTTAAATGCTATAATTTTCTTTCGATGATTGGCTGTCTCTCATTCAATATCGATCATCATCTTTTCTTTGTGATCATATGCGAATGTCGTATAGAATAATTTTTCATCAATCATTTTCTAGCCTAAAGATATCAATTTTTCATTATGTTAAACGGTTTATTTTATCTACAGCATTCTTAAGATATCGCTTGTTCTAATCGGAGATATTCTTTATTCTATGTGCGATTTCTCTCTCTCTCTCTCTCTTGACTACGCGATAATGGATCGTTTGCATTGAATTGATAAATGTTGTTATTTTCTCATTCATTATTATCTTGAAACAGGATTCTTCTCATTAAAATAATGATAAATATGTATTAAAAATAGGAAATCAAAGAACGAAGCCATTCATTTCTATTTTAGAAGACACGACGATGCATCGTATATTTGTATTACTTGGAGGTCTTCTACTTTTTACTATTATTGACTTTAGTAAGTACAGATAAAAAGCAGTATAGCAGTATTTTGAATACTGTATGTAAATAGATTCAGCAGTAAGACATCATCGAAATCGTGGCGATCGGAATGAACAGGAATCCTTACTTGATAAACTTGACCGTGAAAGTGATAAAAAAGATCGAAAACGTGATGAAGATAAAAAGGGTAAACATAAAATGTTATCATGAAAAATATTTCATTCATTTTTTTGTAACGAACAGAAGTAAATCGTACTATATCATGTTATAAATGTGATGGCGATCAATGTACTGACCCATTTATAGCAGCAGATTCTGTACCATTGGTACAATGTGAACATAGTTGTTGGGTATAGCTTAACAATTTAAATATTTTATTTTATTCAGAAGTGAAAAATTTTGTTTTTGTTCTTTAATAGAAAGGAACTTTTGCTTCAAGCGTTCGTCGGTCATGTGGAAATAAGCGCTGCACATTTACATTTCAAGGAGGTTCAGCTATAAGCAATACGTGCTGTGAAACATCTCTTTGTAACAATACTCATATGAAAATACCATCGATTATGATTTTCATTTTTTCATTTCTTATCGGTGTTGCAACAATCTAAATGACGGATTAATCGCGAATAATTCTTTCTTTTTTTTATGTTGTATTTTTGCTTTGCTCTTTCTCATTGAAGCGCATTAGAAAGTAAAAACAAATATTTTTCTAAACATTTTTATGTTTAGTAAAAAAATAAGCTCCTTTCGTTAGATTTTTTACGAACAAAACTCGGCCATATATTTCCTTTTCTTTTTTGTTTGTTATTCTTACTTGAATACTGATCGCGAGTTGCACACGGAACAAACGAGTGCTAATCTAAAAAATGGCATTAGACAATGCTGATGAACAAGAATCATTAAATTCTTTCTGCTGTACTGCAACGTAAGTTCTCGCATGTATCAAGTTACTTTTCTATATGAATAAAAAGAATTCAAATCAATAGAACAACTGTTATGCTCGTTTAATAATATTAATCACAACATTATATCTGTAGCGTAGTGTGACGTGGAAGTATTCTTGAGGAAAAACAATTCATTTAAGAATTCATTCTCATTATTCTTAACAGCTGGTCTTTTTTAAATAGTCTCAATTTTTCTACTTCTCTTTCTCCATAAATATATATATATATATGTATAGAGAGAGTTCTTTTGTTATATTTCATGAGTTCTTCTTTTTATTGTTAGTTGTATTGAGAAAGAAATAATATAGGCGCAATGCCGAACTAACTTCATGATTAGTATTGTCTTATTTTGACAGAGATTTGACCGATATGTTTTTCGAAACTGATGGAATCAGTAACATAAAAGTAATTGTGACTAAAAGTTTACATTTGAACACACCCGAACAAACCATGCAGGCTTTTGATATTAATGATTTTAATGAAAATAAACTATTAAAGCAAGGATTTTTAATTGAACAATTACAAGCCCAATTGGCCCAAAATAAACTACAACGAACTCAACCGAGAAATTATTTACGTATATTAGACCAATCAAAAACACCTCCAAAATGGTATAAAACTCCGCCAACATCTCGATCTGTTTATTTTTATGATCCTAATTATCAAAAGCCTACAGAGAAACAACTAATCTTACCACGAAAAACAAAACCTAATGTTCATGTACGTACTAAAATTATATATATAGATATATTTCCTTTTATCTGTAACTGTAACACATCTTCGTTTTATTTTTATCTTAGTTGATATCTCGTCAATCAAATCGAATCCAAGAACGTTCGATTAATCATACGCATTTGATTCAACGAAATGTTCGCTCATTGACACCTCGTACAAAATATATGTTACAAATCTGCAATACAGCTAGTAATTATCATCAGCAAAAACCACTTTCTAATCAAAGTAATCGATCGACATTTTCGAATGAATCACGAAAACATCACTCAGCCACATTCGAATCAAAATCAATCCCTACATTACCATGCATTCGTAATTCTAAAGAAGCATAAAATGATTTCTTGACGAATTCATTTTACAAGCTAAACAGAAATATAAATGAAAATAACGAAATTCAAACTATCCACCCATGAATATCGAATCAAGAAGAAAAATGCATTCAAACTAGAGTGTGATGCTGCAAGCCTAATAATCATAATCAATAATGAAAGGCGTATAATATCGTTGATCTCTTTATTCTGTATATAATCTTCTATTCTAGATACTGAATATCATTTCGTTTGTAAAAATACATGTAAAAATAAAAAATATAAGGCCTTCATTTATAACTACCTCAGGGTTGCCAGTTGCTCAGGTCCCAAATGGGGTACACGTTAGGTACAACTCAGCTGTAAATGGGGTACATTCGTGAGGTACGCAGTTTACATCTTTCACACTGGTCATCGGCTGCGGAAATCAATTTCGAAAACTATTTTCAATCAGGAAAGGGCATTCTCAGTTTTCCGTTTTACTGTAAAGTCTAGCTTTCAAATTGAAAGCTTTATTTTCTAATAAATATGTTCACAATAAAATTTCGTTTTGACATACATATATTCAATTCAATCATAACAGTGGCGGCG